ATAAAAAAAGGATTTGGAGGAAAGAATCTGGTTGTCTTCTGGCAAGTTTTTTCGTTCTGGTTATCTGCAAAGTATACACCTCTTGTCAGTATAAATAGGGAGTGCCTGTATAAACATTCTTGTTTCGCCTGTTCCACATAATAGTTTCTTGTATCATATTTCTTTTGACCTCGCTATCTGAAACCAATTACAGGAGATCCATTTGGGCTGCATCTATTTTCATAAGAAGGCCAGGCAGCAGTGTTTTTCTCAGAGATGAATATCAACATCAAATATGCTTCTGAGTGCTTTGTTATTTATGTTTCAGAGAGATTTTGTAGCCTTCAGCTCTCAAGAATGTGTCACGCTGTGCTGTTTATACATTGACGATATTAATGGGCGTAGATGTCATTTTTCATTTTAACGTCTCAAATGCAACAGGCTGATAGGTTAAACATTCCTGTTTTTAAAGGAAAGATATGAGTGACGTCTGTTTCCTAAGAACATACATACATTTACTTTTTAAAAAACAAAGTGATGTTAACCGTCTTTTAGTGACAGCTTTCACTTTATTAAAATGATAAAACTTTTAAATTATTTTAAGGCATACTTGCGTTAAATACAAGGATGTGGAATACAAAATTAAAGCAAGTTATCTCATAGTATTATCGCCAACAAATTGCAAAATCTGCTGCAATTTATCAACTTTAATGGGGTGAGTTATATGCAATTAATTTCATTTTTGTTCTGCTTACGTTTTAGCTATGCCAAAGCTGCACAGTAAATATTAAGAAGTAGTGTTCCCAATAAATATTTTACTAGAAGACACAGTGAGTTCTGGAAACCATATGCCCAAATTTCCTGCTTATACAGCCATTGCTTAAAGCATCATAATGATTTTCATTTGCATTAATAAAATAATTTCTAATCCTTAGTTCTTTTTATTGCTTTTGTCTACATTGACTTGTTTGTACAGTTTTACTAATTTAGATAACTTAATTAAGGAAAAGTGCCTACTAAATTTGAAACAAATGTTACTGGAAGCTAGATTCAATTTTGACTGCCTTAGAATCCATTCTTGCTGCTGCTAACTTGAGGTAGGACCCAACGCAATTTTGATCTGCCAGATTTATAGATGTCTGTTGGTTTGTCTTCTTTGAACTGTTTTTCGACCATGAGTTACTATCAAATTAGTTCACAGAACTTTGTAGGTGATACATCGGATGGGTGTTTACTTGAAGTGTGTATGTTAAACTATGAATTTTGAAAGACACCTTCAAGTTGTCAGTTTGTTTGGAAAGGTTTAATAGCAGCAATTGAATTGGTACAACTGGATGTTTTATAATCTCATAATCTTAATTTATGAATAATGTCAGTAATAATCCCTTGAAAGTAACAGCATATTTCTGGGAGGTTGTTTATTGAGTAGCAAAATCTAAAGTTAAGCGGCACTCTGGGAGGAAAAAGTACCATATGACAACTGCTGTAAGAAGAAATACTGACAGTGATTTCTCCTTATGAGTTTTAAATCATCTCTGATCTCTTGAAATTGTTTTCTGTTCTTCTTCTATCTCCTGTGTTTACAATAATCTAAACTACCACAATAAGATCACTGAAGTATTCAGGTAGTCATCATTTATAAGACATTCTGTATTAAAAGATAAGCCTTTACTCCTTTAAAGATTTCCCAACCAGCACATATGAATCAAAATAGTTTAAGTAGTAGAGCCTTTTATGCAAACATATCCTGTTGTGCTGCCTTGCTTTTTCATAAATTGTGACTCTTGTTGTAGTTAGCAGGAGGAAGTCATGGTTTCTTAGGCTGATTCCACAGGAGTGTGCTAGCCACAATTTGAAATTACACTGTCTATCTTAAATCTAAACTGCAGCATACTATAATTCTCTAATTTTCAAGTACTGTAAATGTACAGCTTTGCCAGATGCTTGCTTGCTTGTTTTATTGTATTGATGTGAGATGACTTTGCTGCTAAGGAAGATTAGGACACTGACACAACTTGCCAAGTGTTCCAGTTATTTGCAATATACATCAGCAGTATATCACTACAATTTCTTTTCCAGAGAAAGGCCGTGTAGTGAATTTTCTGTGACCGCCACGAAAAAAAAAAATTAACTGTCTTTATGTTTTTTCCCCATTTTCTGTAACTCCAGGTCTCTTCTCTAGTTCTTGTAGTGGTATCATCCTGGGCAGTGAGGCTGGTTTTCCTGTACAGTCTCCCATGAATTCAGGAGTGCAATAGCTCTCTTGCTTCCATTCAAGTTTCCCTTTCAGAGAGCTCTAAAAATTGGGAAGGATTATAATTTCACCATAGATCTTCTGTTCATGCATTTAATCCATGTTTTGTGCTTAAACCACTGCAAGATATTGGGACCAAGTCCTGGTGCCCCTGAAATCAACAGATATATTTATCCCTGATCTCAGACAGAGCAGGATTGTCCTTTAGGATCTGCTCAAGAACTGAGAGTGCAGAAGAGATTATGCTGTTCACATAGGAAACAGGGCATCCAGTGGTTCCTTGGTAACAAAATATTTCAAGTGCACTTTGAAATATGTTAACTATTATTTATTTTTGGCGAAGAGAAGCTAGTTCTGTGTGTCTCGTTGCTTAGGTTCAGAGGAATGTACAGCCTTTGTAAAGCTGACCTGTAATTACTTGAGAATTTGATGAAACAATACGGGGATTGTTGTGGGAATGTCTCCAAATGTTAAAAGTCTGCTCTGCAAACTTTGTACCCGAGCCTTCTATGGGAAGACGAATCAATGTTGTTAGGAGATGGTGCTAGTGCATTCAGTTTGTTTACTTTGGTTTTCTATGTCTGCCTGCCTTCTCAGAAAACTTGCTTGGAGCCAGACTGTAGCAGCCCTCTCTCTGTCTTTTCATAATTGATCAGGGGATGACTGCCTTCCCTGAGGGTTAAGACGTGGCAACTTTTTCTGTTTGCTCAGCATCTCAATGCAGTAGTTCAAACATTGTTCACACCAGCTGGCAGTGTAATGCCATATGCACATCTTGTCAAAGCAACTGTTGTCATGGATACTAGAAACTATCTTAAAAACCAGCTCATTTGAGTCTAATCAAAATTGTACCTTTCTTTATCAGTTGAGAATCTTTATTATTTTAGGGAACGTTGATCAAATGGCATTTATTGCAGTGTATTCCATCTACAGTGGGTTTTAATAACAGATAATAGAGGGACATATTTTAAAGCTGTAACTGCTATTTACTGAACTGATTTTTTTAAGGAGGAAAAAAAAAAGGAGTTTTCCAGGTAGTTTCAGTGGAAACGTTTTGAATCGCCTTTTTTCCTTTTCTTAATAAATACCACTTTATAATGCTTGGCATTTTAGAAATAATTTTATGGGGAGAAATAATTTAGATTAGCCTTCCTTGGGTAAGTGGAATGTTTGTTTACATTTCGTATGTTTGACTCTGTTTTGCTGAGTTGGAATGAAAACATGAAATAAATGAAAACATTTTCTATTTTGATTGGGATATTGTCATCCCTGAGCCTGATCTGGTTGGTTGAGTAGTAATTTCTTTGTTCTCTGATTTTCCTAAGAATGCAAATGAAAACCACTCATTTTTATTTGGCATTAAAACTGCACTTTTTTTTTTGTCAAAGGAGAGGTTTCTCCTTGAATTGTAAGTACAAAAAGTGTTTTTAATCTTCAATGAATATCCTTATTAATTCACTTTCAAGATAATCTGATGTTGATTTGTCAAATTTAATTACAGCTTCCGGTAACACTTGAAGTCTACTTGCTTTTGCTTCAAAATTGTAATATGAAAATGCAAATTGAATGATAATTTGCAAGGGAGTGGGCATTTTAGTTGAACACTCAAAGACAAGTTCCTTGTGGAAATGAGGCTATTGATGCAGTTTATGATTTTTCCTCTTCAAGCACTTCAAACAAATTAACTTTATTTCCTGCAGGATTTCATGTACATCCATAAATTCTAGTAAAGTCCTGTATATGTACTTTCAGATGATTTTTTTTTAATGTTTCAAGTAAAAAACAAACTGAAGTCTGAAATACAGCAAATACAAATCAAATAGCAGGAGATTGTATTTGTTCAGTTGGACTTTTACCTTACATTACCAATGAGTAACTCGTCTCTTTCTAGGAACTGGTGTAAATTATTTACTTTTTTTTTACTTTTAGGCACTCCAGGCAGCAAGGCAGCTGCTTTTACAGCAACAGACAAGTGGACTGAAATCTCCTAAGGGCAGTGATAAACAGAGACCACTGCAGGTTAGTAAAGTACCCTTGCTTTTGGGGCCTTACTCTCAGGGAAGAGCGCTGTGGTTGCTCACACGTGAGGAGTGTGTGTGTGTCTACCTGTGCTCTAATGCTATGTATGTGCGTATTCACATACAGGAGGTTACAGGCTGGCATACTGGTGACTTCTTATTCACAGAGAAAATTCACTGCAAGTTATAAAAGCCTTTTGCAGCTCTAGATGCTTAAAAGGTCTAAGACTAATTCTGATTTCAGTAGCTATGGTCTAAATTAATGCTTTATAGACATGTTGCAAAATTGATATGTGATTTTTGTACATGCATGGATTAAATTATAAAAATGTCTGTGTTAAGATTAAGAGTAAAACAGTATCCAGAAAGAAAAAAAAGCTAAGTAACTCATCGGTACTCTAAGTGACAAACAGAGAAGTATTCAGAAACTACCAACACAACTGTATGAAATTATGAAAGAACTGCTTCTGCCATTTTAGAGAAACATACATTGTAGAGTTTCAAACCGGGATGCTGTTGGGCTTCAGATTGTGTTTGGGTGAATAGGAGTTCTGTTACTGGATAACTATTTTAGATGCATTATTAGTAAAACTATATATAGCGTTTTATGCTTGAAAAATTTTATGTTTTTTTTTTTTTTTAGGTTTTAGTTCATTTTTTACTAATTCAGAGTTCTGTATGAAATCACATTCCGCTGACAAAACTGGTTCTCTCATTGTATATAAACCAAATATGAGTTTAACTGCTGAATTACATTCCGTTGCAGACAAAAGATGTACATGAGAGATGATTTTATTTGGTTCAGGAAATAAAAAAGTATAACTCCTACCATTCTCTTCCTCACATCTAATTTTCCGGGTGAGCCTTTATCCTCTTGGGACTTACCCTGTTTTCTGACGGCATAGGACATTCTTATCTCATTTTTAGTTTTTGTTGTGCATAATGGAGGACCTCAGGCACCAAAATTTATCTTTTTCTCCACCAGTGAAATGTTGTGAAATTTGATCAATTGTGCAATTTTTGTATGTAATTCACATTGTCTTCTTTTCTTTGTGAAACTTCATGGAGCAATGTTGGACACAGCAAACAGTTCCACATTCCACATTGTCTGTCTTCAAATATGCTTTTAAAGTTGTATATATTTGCTCAGAACCAAACAAGAACTTCGGAAAATGACTAAACAAAATGGAAAAAAAGAAAACATGTCAAGCCATGCCAGCTGTAGTTGTGCTTGTAGTCCAGTGCAGAGGCATAGGGGTCCTAGGACCGTCTCAGCTATCCACTCTTCGACCTTGACTTTGCTTTGTATTAAATGTCTTCTAAATATCTTGTGAAGGCAACATGAAGAGTAGCCATAAAGGCAGCAGCTCATGAACTACATAGGGTTTTTTTAAGTTATTAGAAGTGGAATTGGTGGTCTTGAAGGGCTGAATTATGGAGATAATTGATTTAATGAATACTGTGTTAGTAGTTTATTCTGCCAGCTCATAATTCTGAAAGATAATACGGGCTGTTCTAGGAGCGTACAAGGTCCATCTAGCCCTGTGTCCTGTCTCTGAACTGGCCAGCACCAGACACCAAGGGAAGTATATGAAACAGGCAAAAATAGTGATGTTTTCCCAGTATATGTTTCCCAGTGAAGTTGGCTTACAACATAATCCTCCAGCTTGTAAACTGGAGCAATTCAGGAGCTCCTGCCTTCTCTGTTCACATTCTCCACCCATTTGTGAACCTTCTTTTCAAGGTTGAAGAGGTGGAGGGTTGCGCTATTTGCAGTAGGCATTGATGAAAGGAGAGAAAACCATGTTTGGAGACAAAGACAGTCATACACAGAACCCAGAGGATGATAAGATGACGAGAGGGAGGCTTGTGCTTTCCTGCTCCCAATGCACTAGCCCTGGCCTGATGTCTTTTAAATGCCATGGGATGGTGTATTGTAGAGACGTCCTGTGTTGCATCTTTGCCAGGAAGAGTCAGTGCCTCATGAGTCACACTTGTGTGGCAGGAAGAAGAAAAAAAAGCAAATAATTTTCTTTTCAGAGTTGTTACATGCTTCCTAAAGCCAAGATTATTGCTCATGTTTCCAGCTTTTCCTTCCATGATCAGTATGTGCACAGTGCCTCTTATTAGCCTTGGACACTTCATTTAGTTCATTTTTAAATGAGAGGAAAATAGAATTTGCTCCCAGACTTTGGTTTGTGTATGAAATACTGTGTAAATTCAGGCATGAGCACAAACTCCATTTTAATTTTCTTCTTTAGTGAAAAGGATGTATAAAGGTTTTGAAAATGAGTCCTTGGAGCTTTTCTATTTCTGTCTTGTGCTGTTACTACAGAGCTGTTCATTGTTCATTAAGTAGTGGAAATTCACATTTTGAGCATCGTGATGCCTGTTTGACCAAATACTGTAGTATGGGTCATAAAATTGTACATTATTATTGTTTCATTATGCCAAATTTAATTGTAACTTTAGCCAAAATCTCCTAGCAGTAGGAATTGCTGAATATGTTTAAGCAATTTACAAGACAAAAATACTTGTGCTGGTGTTTGTGCTTAAGGAAACAGACTTGTCCCAATATTTTGAAGTACTTTAATATCAATATAATTCTAATTTCCTCTAATTTACTGATCTGGCAACTGGAGATATGTTAGAACTGATTTTAAATCTAGTAAAAACCTAATAAAACTTTTAAAACTAGCTCACACATCTGCAGGCAAATGTGGGTGTTAGGTAAGCCTTGTCGTTGCATCTCTCATGTGCTTCATATTTTGATGTAAATTATTCAATTGTTCCAAGTGTCAAAGAAGGAAAAAAATTATACTAATTTTAGTGGCCATCTTTTTGTATTTGATGGATATTTGGGGGAAAGGTAGCATATGGTGTTATTATGTATGTTCTCTGTTATTCCATAATACGTCAAGTATTTTAGCGACTTACAGCACCTACTAGCTAATCAGCAAATTGAAAGCTTGTTGAAGAAACCTTCAAATTTGTGTCCTCAGCTTTGCAAAAACAGGGTGTTGGGTAAGTCATCATGTTCTACTGTGTTTTACAGAGAGGAAGGTTTTAGAGAACTGCTGAGATTTTCCTAGAAATATTTGAGTGTCTTTTGAATCTTTCTCATTAAAACCCTTTTTAAATTTATCGCTAGCTATGTGATCTATTGTAAAAGAGGAATGTTGAGCTGGCAAATGTTTTTTATTTAGTTTTTAATGCAAAAGTTACCCTTATCTAGTAGTTATCCTGTATTTTCAGGGAGGTGAGGTTTATATTTAGATTGTGAGTTAACAGAATACTTGCAAAAATTACAGTTTTAGATAGACGCTTATCTTGATCTACTATTACTTTCTGATTTCCATTTTTCTGGGTTTCAGACTGCAGATGGCATAACCATTAGCATGTCTTATGCAAAACAGAAGGAGAAAAACATCTCATCTGACAAGCTTGAGTACCAATTGTAGTAGTGATTTTACTTTCATGTATAGATATCCGAATAAATGTATTTGAAACATGTTTATATATGCCATTCATTACACTGATGCACCGATTGAATGGATCCAATCAGTACATACATTGATTAGTGACATATTGCAGAATAGCTAAGGAGCGTTTGTGATGAGAACTAAGAATAATATTAACCTGCATATGATGAGACAATATAATTTACTTTCTTACTGTGCATCCTGGAAAACATACTGCAGTAGTAAGGTTAAGATTTCTGTGGTACTGGTTTTTGTTTCAGAATATTTTTGGTTTTGGAGAAGCTGTGATTGTGGTAATCCATGGTGAAGAGAGCTGATTGCTTCCACGGATTTCACTCCCTCTCACCACGTTTCCCTAGTGGGCATAACAGGGAAAATATCCCTTTGGCTCTTAGAACCTGTAGATCATTCTCCTGTGGGAAAAAGTCACTGTCCTTATGGCCACTGAAGAACCTGGTGTCATCTAGCCTGAATTTCAAAACGGGCAGCTTTATTGTTCTTGTTACAGTCACGAGCAAGACTCGTGGTTCTTCAACAACTGTGCAGCACACAAGCATGACCCAAAGGTAAATGCTGTCAGTTTGCTGCCATTGCTGGGTGTTCGTGTTCAGCATTGCAATTATGTCCCTTCCAGGTAGGCAAATCTCAGTGCTTAGGCTAATCTGTCCATGATATACATACTGTCGTTGGCTGCATAGCACAGTGGTTTGGATAGCTGGTTGTAATTTTACTTGTTTGCTCTAAGAACTATGAAGAGCCTAGCTATTTCTATTCCCTGTAAGATCTCTAAAGAAGTAATGTATTTTCATAAAGTCAGACTTTGAACTTTATCTCAATTAGAATAAATAGATCATTATCTTCAATCCCAGAAGTTAATATATCTACAATGAATTGGTTAGTTGTTTTCTTCCATCATGCTAGGAAGTTTGTTGTTTTGACATTAGTACAAATGCATTCTGTATGAGGATGGCACGTCAGGAAATCATGACTCCTGGAATCAAAGGGTTAAGCTCAATGTGTACCAAGCCTGTTGTATAAATATCATGCTGTATGGAGTGTTGAGTTGTTAAGGTAAGCTTTGTTTGTTTAGCATGAGCACTTCACTGAAGTGTAATCATTTGATAAAATTTGGGAAAAGTAAGTATACGTTTAAGTTTAATTACTTAATGTTTATTGTATTAGGGCCTAGTATCAGAAGAACCACTTTTTTTAAGGACATGCAAAATGCAAAAATTTAGCATGAAATTTTAGCATGAAAGATATTCATAGTCTCTTTAACCTACTCTCTTTGCTTTACTCTCTCCTAGTTTGGTCATCTCCCTTTGGATCTTCATTTGGGTCTGAATTTAAAATTCATTCCACATAATAAATAAGCAAACGTATAATTAATATTGTAACTTTTAGTTACTTTTTTTTAACGTACATAAGGAGCCGATGAGAGATAAGAAATTGGGAATGTGGGGGAAAAAAAAGCAAAACCCACTGCTTTTAAATTATATCCTCTGACTTAACGCACACT